CAGAAATATACTCAGGGATAGGAGATATATACATGGTATACTCTTTTGGGGGTAGATACCCTATTCCCAAAGGGATTTTGGCTTGTTTCACTCTGATAGCCTAACCCCCATATCTATCTATGATAGTGGGGTTCCTGGGGAACAGCTCAGGGTTACCATGAATCAGTGAACATTCAGCCCCTGTGTCCAGCAGAGCCAGGACACATTGCATGTTCACCAGGGACCAATGGATAGCTATTTCAACATGTGGCCTCCAGTGCTCCCCTGGTCCCTCAAGGCAGGTACCTCGACCTTCCCCTCTGTTGAACAGTGTTCCCCAATCATCTTCCTGTATGGGTTCAAGTGAGGTTGGCTCGCTCTCCAGCAGGAAGTCTTGCAAACACACAGGCAAGACTTGTGGCTCTGTCTGTGACCTCTGCCTCTTTGGTCTTAATGGCTAGAACTGTGCTCTGGTTTCAGTTGTTGCCATAGCTCTAGTAAGATCCTATTTGACTTCCTGTCTAATTTCCTTCTGTCTGCTCTTGCCTGTATGAAATCAACCCACATCTGGTTCCTGGTAACCTTCACAGGGCCCTTTAAATTCTTCTTGTGAGTAGCAGACCGTATTTCTTTCCATGTTCTCATTGCTCCAGCCTCTCCTAAGTCTGCTACTGTATGTGTAACCTCCCTTATGGGCTACCCTAAGTGAGGGGCAGGAATGGCCACTAGAAACCCAAAGAGGGATGTGGGAGCCATTTGAAGCACAATATTTCTCATCCTGATAGTGAAAAGCTCTTCTTCTGGGCCATGATTCTCTAGGCTATAGATGGCATTTCTTATGCCTAGCTACCATAACACCTGTTGGAGCTCAGCATATGCCTGCCTTCTAGCAGGGAAGGATGGTAGATCACCCTGACTGGGCCACACAGCACAAAGTGCAGCCATAAGCCAATCAAGGAGTCAGTGATTTGCTGGGGTCTGATGTGCACTTTGTAACTGCTGCCTCAAGGGGGGCTGAACCATCAGGGAAGCCAGCTCTCCCATCCCTGATCCAGACAGAACAACTCCATCCAGTCCTAAGTCCCACAGATGCAGGAGCCAAGCTGATATTGTCTCTGAGCACCTCTGCCTAAACCGGGAGCCCAAATTCACCAGCTCAGCCTGAGTATACGGGCAGAGCATAGAGTGCTCCACGACCTGGGGAGGGGGCTGTGCCTCTCCTTGGGGAATTCTGGCTGCTGGGTCTTTATTTTCTTTATAACTGCTGGGCTTGCTTTCAGTAAAGGAGGGGTCAGTGACCCTGGCACCACCCCTTCATCCTTCCCCTGCTCCTCCATTTCCAGGACTGATGGGACCTTTCTCTCCCCTTCCCCGAGTGCCTCCTCTGCTACATCGTCTGCCTGTCCTACAGTGCCTCACAGCAATGCTAGCTCAGTTTTCAGCAGCTCTCTTACTTCACCTCAATGCTTTGCAGCTGGCATTCTCATGCCACCCCCGCCTGTGTTTCCCTCAGGAGTTCATCTTTTTCCTTTATGGCCTTTTCCTCCTTCAGAGCACCAGGCAGTGCTGCCGTCTCATTCTGTAAGGAATCTTTGACCTCTTCAACGCACCTTGCTGCCAGTGTTCTTGTGCTGCCTCCTCTTGCATCAATGCCATTTCCTTCTTCAGGGAATCTACAGCAGTTTGCAGTTTGCGTTCTTGTGCCACCATTTCTTGGGTCCTTTTCAAGAGCATGTCCTTCTCTTCTGTAGACTTTTTTAATACTGTGAGAAGCAGCCAACCCCCAGTCCCTGCTGCCTCACAGGCACTCTGTCCACTCTGTCTCTCAAAAGACCTACTTACTAAACCAAGGGCCACCCCTACTGCCTCAGGTATCACCTCCACTTGCCTCCAGTCCTGGGGTGGGGCCCAGCCCTCTAGGAGGCAAGCTACCTCAGACCACATACCCATTGGGGGACAGTCCACTGTCTCCCCTTTCAAAGGGGCAGCCCGCTGAAACACCCTCCCATAAGGGCAGCTTGTCTTTTTACTTGGTCAACAATGAACCCTGCCAACTTCGCTAATTGTCTTGCCAATGGGTTTCAGCCCCCGGCAAAGTCAGTATGGATTCAGTGTGACCGAAGACTATGACAGTAGAACGTTCTTGGGGTGAAAGGGTTTATTACACGGTTCATTCTCCCAGCGGTAGGTCGAGCACTAGCGTCTCTGCCTCTACCCAGTGCACTGGGCCGAGCTCTCTATATAGTGCAATAATAGCTTATTGCCTATGGGTGTGGAAGTGGTAGCCTAGCAATAGGTCAGTTACATCATCAAGTGGTTTAAGTTCAGTGAGGATCCTGGCCATAGGAACCCCAATTTCCCCACAGATACTAAACCACTGAGTTATGACAGGGCATATTAAAAAGCTTGCTACTTGTAGGTGAACCCCCATAGTAAGAAAGCCACACTTGGGGACTGCCGGGCCAAAACAAAGAGAGAGCCTAAGGTACACTTCCAATCTCATCATTACTACTGAGATTATCTTCATTCTCTAAAGGGTCCTGGTTTGGTCAATAAATTATAGGATCACCCTAACTAAAAATACTATAAGTTTTAAATAAAAGTAATAAATAAAAATTGTAGGCAAGATGATTCTTAGCAGCAATATAAAAATATTGATAGCATTTTTATAATTGAAAAAAAAACTGGGCACCATCAGAATGTCTGCCAACAGTAAAATGGCATTGTGGATTCCATGACTGAACACGGTATACTACACATCAAAAACCAGAGAGCTTTCAAATTAATTAGCTTTAGCTAAAAATGTCCACTTGGCTGGATCTCAAAACTCATGTAGAACAACAGCGAACAGAAGAATGCATTAGTGTTAAATCATTTATAAGTTCAAAAACAGCACCACCACCCAATCTATGGTTTAAAGTAACAGATTATGAAGAAAAGCAATACATTAAAAATCACACACCTTCAGTTATAAAATAAATAAGTCCTGGACATACAGTGTACAGCATGGTGACTACAGCTGAATTGTATATTTAAAAGTAACTGAGAGAGAGATCTTAAAAGTTTTCATCTCAAGAAAAAAAAATGCCATAACTGCATGGTGACTGGTGTTAAACAAGATATATTGTAGTGGTGACTTTCCAATATACTGAATCATCTTGTATCCCTGAAACTGACATAAAGTTATATATCTATTATCTAGATTACAGAATTTTTTAAAAGTAATATAAACATCTGTAAAAGAAAATGCAGGGTAATACTTATCCGAGAAAATGAAGAGGCTTGTGAGCAAGGGAAACCTTAAAAGTACTGTAGGGTCTATTTTGTAGACTAGAGAATGAGCCAATATACATCTTTTTAAGAAGCATTAATAGTATTTTTTAAAGTACTTGTATCTATTTCACAATAACAACGGATTCATATCACATCAGAGTGTAAATATTTATGAAAAGTATCAATCCAACTCTCGCGCTGCTATGTGTTTACATTCTGAACATGCAGAATGTTCAAATATGAAAGATGATTCCATGGTTTGAAAATAGCTTTTTACTTTTTAAATACAAAAAACATTTCATTTTGTATCATTAACCAATGTAGTAAGGGTTTCCTTCTTTCCCCTTTTAGTGCTTCAAAATCTTTTTACCTTTTATGTTACAGCTCCTGGATAAATTTTTTACTTAGTTTTGAAGGAATTTGTTCCTCTGCAGAGCTATAAAATCCATCATAAGTGCAAAGGTTTAAAAACCTATCTGGGTCAGGAATGTGCTGTATTTAGCAAGCAGGGAGAGCAAGCAATCTGATCGTTTAAGGCTGCTGGCACTACTCCACCTTTCACAGTGATGGTTGCTTTAGGGAACTTGAAAGATTAAACACCCTGATTCATGGTTTGTGTGTTTACTGTCAATTCTTAGGGAGGATTTTATACTTTCTTGTTGAGCTATCAAGCTATCTCCACATGATTACAAACTTATTTAGAAAGAAACAGCTATAAAACGCAAAATAGCAACAATATCAATCACAGCTTCAAGCCAAGATTAGAAATAAGTCTTACTATTGACAGGTCTCAGATTTTGGTAGTTCAGGATTTTTCACTTGAATGCCCCAGGAATGGAGATTCAAAGCTCCCCTTCCCTGGTGGAAAGGGCCCTGGACAGACTCAAAGGTCCACTGAGCAGGCAAACATCCCATTTACTATACTCCAGAGGAGATGGCTGGAAATCATCTTGGTGAAGTGCATCACCAACCAATGAGTGAAATACTAAAATAGTCATTAAATTATTCTCTTGCTCCGGTCTATGTAAAGATGCCCTATTGTATAAGCAGTGGGAATAGAATATTTCAAAAACTTCAAAGTGTAGCAGACCCCTTGGTGAAATGCAGACTGTGGCTCAGGAAGTCAGGGACATTTCCAACAAGCTTCCAGGCGATGATAACACAGCAGTTCATGGACTGAACTTTGGGCAGCCAGGCTCCCTGTGAGTACCAGGCTCCAGGGAGAAGAGCAACACCCAAAAGCAGCAATAAAACTGGCACATAATATCTGTAGGGAAGGTCCTAAGGGTCATTTGGCACCAGGAAAGTTCCCTATAGCAAAGTACTATAGGTGAGAAATAGAGAACAATGACCCTCCAGGGTTGCCTGAACATGGAATCATGTGGAGAGCATTAAGAAACCTGTTGCCCAGGCCTTGAGACCAGTTAAGTCAGGATCTCTGGTGATAAAGCCAGGCACATGCATTTTTGTAGCTTTCCAGGTGACTTCAATGTGCAGCCATAGTTGAAAACAAGGGCCAAATTTAAGACCAAAATTATCATGCACATTTAAGCAAGACCACTTAAAGATTTGCATTTTAGGCCATAATTTATCATCTTCGTCCATTCAACATTCCCATTCACTATAATGCAAAAAGAAAACTCATTCTTCATTATTAATTTTCATTTAAAGCTGTCAGCTCCTTAGAAGGCAGGAGCTGGGGAGATAGATGGGTTTGACTGCTAATGTAGCCGGCTCCTTCCACTTACCTCCCAAGTAATAGGTGTTGCCTGAATCAATCTGCCCACGCAGGGAACCAGCCACAGAGACTGCCTCACCATCCACTATCACACTCAGGTGATTCCCTTTAGCAGTTAAGGACACAGAATGCCACTGCCCATCATTTAATCCAGCACCTGAAGGTAAACAAAATGGGTTAAAAGAGATTGCTATGGACCCTACCAGTACTTGAAAACAACTTGGTACAGATCTTGAACTCCCTGGTGAACTAGCTGAAGCCCATCCATGTCACTCAGCGGCTGAGCAAGGAGAACACACTGCGGAGAGCAAGGAGAAGCTTCGGGGTAGACATGGGCTTGCTGGGGTTCTAAGGAGGCAGTTAGGTGATGTGGTAAGCTGGCCATGTTTACCTAGGAGGAGGTGTTACCCATGTCATTCGGAAGGAGGACGAGGGCTCACTGAGTCTGCTTTTTGGCTGCAGACAGTGCCTGTGTCTGATCCTCCATAGACATGGACTGGCCTTTCTGGTTCTCACGTTTTAACAAAAACAATTACGTCCAGTTGGGAGAGTTATGGCCTATATGTGCATTGCCAGGGCTGTATTTAACTTCTTCATAACTCAGTTAAGTCAGAAAAGTACAGATAGAAAGGCACAGAAAGGAATCACAGTGAAAGCAGTGAAGACGAAGCAAAAATGGAAAGCCCCATGTTCTGGCTCCGGGAGTAGAGCATCTACATCTACAGTCCTGGTGCCTGGAGAAAACAAGACTCCACAACTTACCCTGAACAATCCTGAACCAATCAAATTTCTAATTATGTGGCTTAGGAGATAATGTGTCAGTCTCATCTAGTTAATTAACATTTTGGGATGTTGAAAAGTACAGGTATTTTCCAATATTGTATATAAAAATAAAAAATTTTCTTACTTTTGTGTATTGTGATTACCTATAAAAATATTGGCAGACTATTTAGAAAAAAAGTCTTTAAAATTAATTTAAATATTAATAAAACATTAAAGCACATTGAACAAAATTTGAAATTTAAAAAGCACCACACTAAAGTGTGTCTGTACATAGTTCAGCATGGTATAAAAATGGAAAAAGATGTGCAAGACATATTCTTAAATATTAACTTTAATTTTGTTTTCATTTTATGTTCTTTTTCCATTTTCTGTAAATCTGATACAGTGCACTCCAGCTATTGTTATATTATTTTTAAAAACTAGTATTAGTCCCTCCTAAAGCAGTCACTGTCTCTTGAATCCATGAGATGAAATATCTATTTTTCTTAAAGTGATGGAGTTGGGAATGGTCATATAGTTGAATCACTCACTGATCAGCTTCCAACTGCCAAGCAGTGACCTCTACAACTCACTGGGCAGGTTACACTGAATGTAAATCCCACACTGTTGTGCAAGAGGTAAATCAGTAAACAGAGACTGAGTACACTCACCAAGACAGTTTCTGTTAGTCAGCAGCTACTAAGTTCCTTTGTGGAAGCAAACCACCTCCAAGTTTCAGTGAGTAACAACTACGGTTTGTTTTTGCTCTGGCCCCAGGCCACCTGGGTCTCTGTTCCCTGTGCCCAGATGTTTACTTCTGCAGGATTAAGGCCAACATGTGGCCCCATCTCTGCCTCATGGCTGAAAGAAAACAGCACTTGGTAGAATCTTGTATGGTATCTGAAGCATCTATTTAGTCATCACTTCTGACATTCCATTGAACAAAAGGAGTAATTTGGCCAAGTTAAGGCAGCCTCCACTCCCTCCATAGGGGGTCCCCCCACAGCAGGCCACAGAGATTTATGTTTCTCTTAAAGGGGGCAGTGAATAATGGGAATCTAGAAATTGACTCTAACTTGAGGGAACATCCCAATATGTTTAATACATCTTACAAATGCTAAAGGTGCAGACAGTTAACAATCTTATGAGATTAGAAATCTACCTATGAAAATTAGAAGTAAGTTTATAGCCTAGTGGGAATATTATCCCCCAAGAAAATACAGTTGTATTTCTGGTAGAAAGTTAACTAGTCATATCTAATTTAACATCTTACTTTGATATTTATTGCCCAATCGAACATGTAAATCCATGTCCCTCTGTTCGATCTCTCACTGGTGACTTTGACATGGGCTCAAATCCTATTTGTGTAGGAAATACATTTCTAACATATTAAACAGAAGGTCAGAGATCCTGTTGTAAAAACAGCTGTAACTATCCTTCTAAGCCTGGTAAATATTAGTTATACTTCCCAGCACTCTCTTTCAGTGAGGACAGTCTCATGGTCACTATTGCTGAAGTTCTTTGCTATGTGCACGGATTCAGTGCAATTTTGTTTCATGTCTGTGAAGCCAAAAGTGTTTTCAAAGACTCAGCACACTGGCTTGGTTCATGAAGGATGATAAGAAAGCTGAGAACTTGAATATAGAAAACTTAGGTTAGATTTTTGTAACATACATTATGAAATTGATCCTGAAACAGAGTTCTGAAAGAATCCTAGAGCTAAAGAGGATAAACAAATCTCTAAGTGTTCCTTCCAGTCTTATCATTCAGTGTTTCGCCTAAAGGTTACATAGTGTATCTGTCAGTTTAATAACCATAGCCATTTAAAATCTGACATTAAAGCCCAAATATTTAATTTGACACTATGAAATGCACCCTTTCTCTGTTGCTCTGTACCTACTGATCAGTCTACTACAGAGTCATTTTGTGGGAGAACTTGGAGAGAGCACTGCAGCATAGCTCACTGAGTTTGGAGTATGTGTCATTTGATGATGTAAATAAAAGCCTGACTTGTATTCTAATTCAAAAACAAAATGCCTGCATTTACATCCATTCCCTATATCCATCCATTATAATTCTCATCCTTTGTTTTTATTTAGCATGTTTTCTACCCTTCCCACTTACGATGAAAGGACAGTGTTTCTCAGGCAGCACTACAGGTAGAGGATGGATAGAAAGCATGCAGGCTTTGCGTTTTTAATCTGTGCTACCATGAAGACGTGCTGTTTCTGCCACAGCCCTCCAGGCCCCTAAAGCCTCCATCTGGGAGGTGTGATGGCTGTGAGACTAGTTTTAGAATAATAACTAAAAGTAATTAAGTTATTAGTGATTAGCAGGCACTGTGCCAATGATTTATATGCATGATATCACTGGATTCTCACGAAAACTCCTACTAATGTCATTTTAAAGATGAGGAACCTGGGGCTTTGGGAGAACAAAGGGGCTGCTGGGGCAGCTGATCTAAGTCTATCAGCTGGAGCACAGCAGAGGCAGCTCAGGAGATGTGACTGGGAGGGGAGGCCTCCACTCACCCTTCCCATTTGCTTGTCAAATCATCTACTCGAATAACAGAGAATACTGACCATGGCAGTAAAGACAGTTTGGAAAAGGCTGGAACTGTGTATTTTCTTATACAAAAGGTGCTCTGTTAGTGAGCAAGCACACTTATTTCCCCCTTCCACTCCTTCTCTCCATGATAACCCCGTCCCGGGCCCAGCTCTCTATACACAGATACACTGGATTATACACGGCTGGTCCATTTCAAAATCTCTTCTGGAATATATTGAGATAACTTAGGACAAAATATATAAAATCTGGAAATAGGCTAAAGGATGACTGCCCTTTCATGTGGTTTATGTTTAATTTATCCTTTATAATTTGGTTCATGGTTTGGTATTTGATACAAGGTCTAAAATGAAAAAAAATTGCTGTCTTAGTTTTCATCTATTTCAAATGTATAAAAGATTGCCCCTCAAATGCTGCTAATCCAAGAGGCAAGTATCAAGAGGAATTTACCTTTGGTTTGCTTCTGAAAAAAAACACACTGTGCTTAAAAACTGGTAGAATAACACATCTGTGTAATGTTTCAGTGCCAGCCTAGAAAAAGGTTCAATAACTGATCTATGCATGTGTTTGTGGGAAGGGTGGTTATGTGCCCACTGGAAACTGCAGTAGAAGGCAATCACTTTTACTTAACATTACATGAGGACTGTAAATCTACACACACCAAGATTTAGGCAATTCACTGAATATGAGGTGACACTGTCAGCTCAGTTCATTTGCTGAGGTCCACGAGGAAACCCAGCATGCTGGCAGTCAGATTTTTTTTTATTTATAAAAAGAAAGAAAAACCTAGTTTCCTTATCAGCTTTTCCAACCAGAACTGATAGTCATACGTCAGGCAAGATATTCCTTTCATATTCAACATTCATGGAATGACATGCCATGGATCTGTCTGGGTTTAAATTTTTATCAACATTCAAATGCAAAACAGTCCCTAAAATGCAATATAACACGACTTTAGAGGTGAGTTCAAAGCAATGGGTTCTTCTCATAAGACCAGAGCAGAACAGCCACCCACAGTTATTAGAGGCCTTCCCAGAAACAAACAGCCCCTAAAGGTTCAAAGGAAGCAGCATTTCTGACAGAAGAGGGAAAAATTATCACTTAAAATATCATGAAAACCAATATATTCAAAGGCAGTCAAAAGTAATCCACTTTCTCAAGACTACTTAGAATTAGGCTAGTATCTTTCATTATTTCAAGTTTAGTTGTAGTACCAACCATCAACTTACAAATAAGTTATATTTTCAACTTTTTGATAATTATGCTTTGATGTAGCTAAACACATCAACAACCTGGTGTTACCTACTTCAAAGGGAAAATTAATCTAGTTCCTTCTAACAGGATTTTGAAAATCATATTGATAAAGTCATTCATTGTAGAGATTATCCACCTTAGGTACAGTCCTGGCAAACACCCACGTGTTACCTCAGGCACTATGTTTGCTACCTGCTGTGGTGTCCCTCGCCGCATGTCCAGGCTGGGAGAGACTCAGCTTGACTTTTCCGTCATGAAGAACAAGGACAAGAAACTGAGTGGCCAGCAACAGTCCTGATCTGTTCCATGTTCGAAACTGGAGAGCAACAGATGCTTTGTCCTCTCCAAAGGTGCCTCCCAGGACCAGGTAACTCCTGGGGCTCAGAAAAGTCACGGGGACAGTGTGAGGGTGCGAACAGGAGAAGGACACATTTCCCTGTGGATACAGTGAAGAGGCTTTAGGATGGCATAGGAGGACCCTCCCATTTCATTAACAACAGATTTTCCAGGACTTACAGAGTTTCTTCCCAATTTTCTGGCATGCTAGAGTTTTAAGAACTAGGCTTCCCTGTCAAACTTAAACCCAGATGTACCTCATGGGTCCCGAAACAAAAGCACTGTTCAAGCTGCACAGGCCTATTTCTGAGTCTTCTAGAAAACTCCATCTTCTCCAATTCTCAGCATTAGCAAAAGAGTCTCAGGCCCTGTGCTGTTTGTGGGATCCAACAGACAAGACGATTTCTTCCCAAAGGTGTTAAATGCTGTCATCCAATGTGAGGATCAGCTCACGGATCACCCACTCCTGGAAGCTGCCTGTACTTGCCTCAGTTATGTCAACTTGATTATCAGTTTGTCACTCAGGTGACAGATAACATCTTACTGTTGGGGGAGGGTTTGCATATCTGAAGGAAAGGATGTGGCCCCACTGCCCATCCCAGAGCAGGCTGCTGCCTCTCAGAAGCTCTCACAGGCCATGTGCCCAAGGGTGTCACCCGGCTAAGGTGACCTAGCAGGCTGTTTTTATATAATTCTGTTTTAGAGAATATTTCATCCCTAGATTGTCTCTATTGCTCCAGAATCAAATTTATTTTTGGTTATAGTGTTTGAATGAGAAGAACTTAATGTAGCTCCAGTTAAGATATCTACAGGGATTTTTCCCTGGGCTTGGATAGATTTTCATAGATTTCATATGGAAGAATACAAACCCAGACATTGCCCTTCCTCTCCAGAACATATCAGTCAAAGGAAAACAGTGAAATGGAACTTAACTTACCAGGTACCAAAGCATACCATCAAGTCACTATAATCAGGTCAATATGCCACTGGGATAGGTATAAGACAGCAGTAGAACAGAATATGCAAAATGATCTGAGGATATATGTGCAGTTAGTATGTAATGAAAGTCAAGATTCACCAGTGTGGGAAAGCAGCTGGGTTGGTTACTAAAATAGTGCAGGAACAAAGGGGTATCCTTAGGGCAGAATATAAAAGTTGATCTTTGGGGGCTGAAGGGGAGATGAGGCTGATGAGAAGTCACAGACTGAAGTGTGTCTGGATCCCCCCACACCCTGCCACTGCTGTCTCTGAAGGAGGTTATCAGCCAAGCAATCTCTAGAAGTTGTAAACAACCCCTGACCCACAGCCAGCAAGGAAATGGGGACCTCAGTCCTAAGCTACAAGGAACTGATTCTGCCAACAATCTGAATGAGTTCATCTCCAGAGACTCCAAGGGAACAGATCCCTGGCCTACGATGAACCCTGGACAGAGAATTCGCTGAGCAAAGCTGTGCCCAGACTTCTGGCCCACAGAAACTAAATAGGTGTTGTTTTATGCTGCTTGATCTGTGGTCATTTGTTGTGGCAGAAATAAAAAACTAATACAATGAGTTTGAGAAGACTAACACTGAAGGGACATCTGAGCAGAGATGCCTTAAAAGATATTTATTGACCTTCAACCATTTTGGAATGAACATTGCCTCCTAGAGCACTTGCTTTCCCAGGGGTTTATCTGCTGGGAAGACTTGGAGTCCTTCAAGGAGTGAGTGAAGGCATCCCTTCCCTTGATCAGTGCCAAGACAGAGGGACACTAATGCATTCTAACGGTCTCAGCACTTTCTCATGACAAATATATGGTATGTTCTTGAATTACAGTTTATCTTCTACAGTTGATGTATACATGTCCAGGAAGGAAGTTTGGCTTCCAGCTAAATTTAGAAAGCAGGCCTTGGGAATATTCCTGGAGATCTTCTGGAGTACCCAGATGCAAGGAACCTTTGTTAGAGCTCTTTCTTTCCATGTCCATCACCTGTCTTTGCCCACCCCCCATATTCTCAATCACTTCATGAATTATTGAGTTGGGGTCAAAAGAAGAATAAGAATCTTGTATTTCATGGGTGGCTGAGCCCTTCTCACTGCTTACCAGCTCTAGGACCTGTAGCCCCCTGGTATGATGCCTATTCGTCCTTCACCATAATCATGCATCGGTTCATGCCTGGACCTTTGGGGAGGCTGTTGAATGTTAAGTCTGCACCTACCCAATCTTTGACTTTTTGATAACATACAGGCAAAATATTCTTAAAGATGGCTATTCTCATCCATATAATACTGAGTTCTGTTGGCTTTATTTTTTAAACTTAATTCTTATAACTCTTAGGGTACCCAAGCAATATGTGTTCACTGTAACATTGAAATATCATAATTTAAAAAAATGGAAATCCACCCTTCCTCTCTCCCCCACTCTTTTCCTATTTGTAATCTTACATCATTAACACAAATTAAAAATTATTTGAATATCCTCCCAGACATACACATGGTAATACACACATATGCACACCCAGAAATTTTTACTGGTTGTACTACAATGTTATCAGGTCATTTTGTTTAGCAGTTTTTTCTCCCTAACGTGTCATGAAACAAGTTTGAAAATCCACATACAGACAGCTTTCATGAAAGAAAAACTGATCTTTATTATATGCCAGTTATAGAATAAACTCCAGATGATCAAAGATTCAATTTTTTTAAATTCTTAAGTATATAAATAAAACCAGTTAAAAAATCTTACAGGAGAACCCATAAGATTATGGTTTTCAGAGAGTCTAGGGTTTTAGAAGCTTTCTAAAGTAGGACTGAATGCTACAAAGCTATAAGGAAGTACAACAACACTACATACAAATAGAAACACAAACAACAGATCATACAGTATTTCATATAAAATTGATGAATTTGAAAAAACATCTGGACCATGAATGGCAAAGGGTTACCTATCATACATAAAACTCCCATTAACTGACAAGGAAATGTTAAAAAATAAAATTAGAAAAGGGTAAAAGAATAAGAATCAACAATGATCAGAAAATCAAATTCAAATGGACAAAACACCTGTGAAAAAAATTATTCCCTTTGCCAGTAGTCAGGTAAACATGAAGGAACAATGAGATGGTAGCTGACACCCATAGAGTGGGCTACAGTTAATTATGTGTAACCTGCGTGGCTGGCTTGAGACATCATGGAAGCGCTCAGTCACATACTGATGGTGAAAAATGCTGTAGCACAGCTTTTTGGAAAACAATCCAATATTTACTAAAATCATATAACAACTTCAACTAAGAAATTCTAGACCTGGAACTTTATCCCATGAAAATAAAAGCCCCAGTATCTGAAAATAGATGCAACTGTCTATTTGTAGTGGCAAAAAAGGCAGTTTAATAAAGCACATGCCCTGAGCAGGAGATGACTTCCCTAATACCAAGGCACGCACACCTGACCTGGTTGGTAACAGGGAAGCACCCAGGCAGGGTGCTGCAGAGTCAGAAAATCAAGTCAGATAAAAGTCTACAAAAGGATTCCACTTCTTCAAACAGTGCCAGATATAGAATCATATATATTCATAAATATGTACATGAACGTGTCTACTTATCTGTAGGGGATTGGGTTATTACAGATCGAAATTAAAGGACAAACACTAGTAGTAATACGGTGCCCTGGTCGGAAGGATGGCAGCCGTTGCGGGGGAAGGGAGGAGGATGAGGAAGCCAACAGAAGCAAAGACCCTACATTCAAAAGCCTTTCTGTGATGGCACTGGAACATCTTCGTAAAATAATGCATCTGTTTCCATACATACATAAAAATTAAATCAAACATGAACTGAAAAGTATACAGTGTAGGACCTGCAGCTGCCCTTTCAGAGGAGTTGTATTTTAAAACTTAAACAGATCACAGGTCCCTTTTTCTCTTGAACTCACATGCAGACTTTCTTACCATGATGAGAATCTGTGGTTTTTGTTTCTTGGACAAATCAATGATATCCACTCCATTATAATAGAGATTTTCAAAGCAGCCATCAAAGTTTCTATGTGGGAATGCCATTGATTTCCTATGTCCGGGAATCCCTCCAAAACTGATCTTAGAAAAAAATGACATAAATAATATTGTTTAATGACTTTCTGATTATGACTAAAATACCTATGATTATCAGGTATAAATTTGTCTCAAATATTTGTCATTATTCTGCATCATGTTACGTTAATTTCAAATGAAGTTCTAGATGCAGATTTATCAATGTTTTATTTACTACAGACAAATTGTTGAATACTCTTCTTACAATTTGCTACTCACATGGCTCTGTCTTTTTGCTGATGGGGAATACTGCATCTTTATTTCCATGGTAACTCTTGATCTGTGACAATGTGACATATTGTGATAATACTCTACTAAACAAATCTGTCTACTACCCAGGCTTCAGGGTCCTGCTCTTTGTCATGACTCTGATAACTTAGAATAATATAGCCTCTGATAATCTCATCGAAGGCCAGGCTCTCCAGCTGGTCTCTTCTGCTGAGGCCACTAATACCAAAGAATATTGCAAGTATCTGGTTCTGAGAGATGTGCTGAGTGGCACTGGGAACAACAATTGTTGCATTTTAGTGTAAGTTAGATGTATGTGGGCAACAGGCTACAAATATCACTAGGCCTTTACCGATACCCAAAATAGTACTTTGAGTTGAGTGCATTTGGCTCTCTTTTTACTTCAAAAGTCAGGTTGGAATAAATGCTGATTACTTCTCCAGGTAATCCAGTCTTAGGTTGCTAATTCTGTTCAGGATTGCTCTAAAACTCAAAGACATCTCCAAGGCAACTCTTCACAGTCAAACATCAGATACAATAGGGAACTGTTCAAGTGAATCCATTTCAAAATGTTGCTTGTTGTTCTGATGCTCTTTATTGACAGATTCGCTAAAGTTAAGGCCCACTTACTCTGCTGTGAAGACTCACACCTTAAAAGGCTGAAACAGCTAAGAGCACATGTGTGTACCTCCCAGTGTGCAATCATCACCCACAGAAAATATTTCACTAGCATTCTGAATGATTAGGAAAGGGCATTTTCTCTGCACAGTAGTATTTTCTCTAGGAGGTCATATTGCATTTAAATGATAAAATAGGTAATACTGAAAAGTAATTTTCACACCTCATTATCAAGATCCAAGAAGCTGGACTCTCCCGTTGCCTGGAAGTGATGAGTGTGTCTGTCCACGGTGAAGCGGACGTGGGAGCCGAGGACCTCAACGAGCACAGAATGCCAGTGCTGGTCATCCAGCAAGCTGCCCAGGCTGAGGGCCTTGTGGGCACCTGGGGAGGGCAGGTTAGCGCTGCCTGGAAAGGAAAAGTGAACCATTCCATCCCATCTGTATTGTAACTTCTGTGTTGAGGTGTAGCATTTCTCACAAAATGACAATTTCCTGACATCCTTTAATCCCAACAACTGGTCAGTTGGTTTTCTTCTAATCTTACACACGACCTTCTTTTGTTCTTGAGTAATTTCTTTTTTTGTAAGTAATTTCTTGAATATTTTGTTTATTATTTCTCATTGTGTTTTCATTTTTCTTGAAAATATTGTCCTCCCAGGACCTCAAAAATTTACAATGGCCCATTCTTGTCTTTACAGTCTTATCAGATTATTCACTGAACAATTATCAAGCTGCAAAACTTTTTACATAAAAGCATATTCAAGATACATACACGATATGCCCTTAGCATACCTCACCTGCAGGCTGATCACGTTTCTATTTGCCAAAATAGTTGCAGTTTACACCTGTAGCCCAAGAGTAATTACTTATAGGGCCTCCTTTCTTTCTGGAATGTGTTCTGCTGTCAGGTTAAATTAACTACTAAACTATGAAAAAATTAAGTGTAAAAAGGTACTTTCATCTACATAATCATATTTTCAAAAACACTGCTTTGTAGTTTTTACCTGAATTAAGTAGTAGGGTGAGTTTTCCTTTAACTAATTCCAGGGTAATGCATTTCCCATTTTGTCCTCCTCTGTGGAATAGAATTCCATCATTCTGCCCAGTTTTAAATTTCAAAGAAATAACGTCTTTTGTTGGACTCATGGGCTTCTGATTAAATATGTACAGCAAGGAACTTTTTCCATCAAAATTAACCACCTCAGATCCTACAGTGGAAGACATTGAAAAGTAATCTAAGTATATTTTTGTTAGTGCCTTGAAATATGTAAATGGACACACACACATACATACACCATTTATCTATAGCTTGTTTAACAAAGGTGAAATATGTTACCACCCATTTTCTCTTGATACCAGTAGTTAATACACCTAGACTCCACTCTGCCTCTTCTGACATTTTCCCCAAAACCTATCATCTAGAAATATTTTTGTTGACTAATTCCAATTGGTCTCATCTTTGTATTGGTTTCTTCTCATCCTGTAGAAACTGAAAAGCAGGAAAGAAGTTGAAATCCTCCCCTGAATAGAATCTCCTTGCATAGTGTATGATCATTCAACATTACTGTTTTTCTGAAAGATTCTAATAGTGTCTACACACTTAAGAGGTAAAATGTCAGTGTCACTTGATGTAAATGGCTTAATTGCTAGTCAATCAGTGGTTTTTTACTTTGAACAATTCTCACACGAGCTATCACTTTTATGTACTTTTGCTGGTCATGACACACACATACACAGACTAGATTTACTAAATACTACTTTAGTATTTAAACTAATATTAAATTATACATATAATATATAAACTAATATAATAATTAAACTAACAAACTAGTATTTACTAAATACTACTTTAAACTTGTCTTCAGTATGTTTCTCTGCATTCTGGCTCCGTGACATCACGGAAGGGCACACCTGTGCCCTCAGGAGGTGATGAGGGGTGTCTGCTGTCATGTGTCATTACTATGGTGTTGCCGTTTTCTCTCAACTTCACAACAGTGGCTTATCTTTCCAACTATCAAGGTCACTTGCATTCAGTTTATACTAAAAAGCAATACTTTATCATTAGTATAAAAAGAACATCAATCAAACCAATTGAATGCAAAACAAGAGATACACAAAGGAATTCTTATTCCCAGAAAAATCTCATATTTTTCATATTTTACAAGTAAAAAGACATTATTGTCCCTTAAAAATACATTTATGTAATAAATGAAGATGCAATAAAAAAGCCAATAAAATATGAAGCTGGTGTCTGGAAAGCCTATGAATGATGTCATGTTGTTTTAAAATTTCTCAAAAGCTGTGGCTAATGTATACTTGGACCTGCATTTCATTCAGATCAACCACAGTATCTACAATTCAAAAGAATTGTGCATTCACAATTCAAAAGAATCACCTATTTTATGCAATTACCTTTTGAAAATTTGGAAGTTTCATTCACACAGTGGAAAATACATAAACACTGTACTCTGTCTAAAAATCATGTAAACAATTATTCTTCGTTGCATAATTAAATAAATGTGTCTGACAAAACACTGTCAAATTCAAATGTTCTTCAGCTTATTAGATGACAATAAACTGATGAAAATTTGATAGTTTATATGCTTTCACATGTTAGTACTATAATTTACCTCCAAGTGTCACTGAAAGGCAATGACACGATGAAAGCTTATTTTTTCAGTTAGCTAATAAGAAATCTTTGTTCCATGAATGATTTTTCCAGGAGTATTCAGCTCAGATACTTTTTCCTCATCTTTCCTGTTGCCACTATTGCTTTGTAATAGTAATATTGATCTTCTAAGGGTGAGAATCTCCTAGAGTGTTTGTTAAACATGGGTTGCAGGGCCCCATATCAGGGCTTCTCTCTGCTAGCCTGGGACAGGACCTGAAAATTTGCATTGCTAACACATCCCCATGTTGATGCTGCTGGTCTGGTGACTGTGCTTTGAAAATTACTGCCTTACAGCACTGAAATTATATTTCCTGGAACATTCCCCTCAAGCAAAACGAAATAGTGACAAATTTATCAGGTGATAGAAACGTAAAATAATGGTTTTAAAACTCCTTTGTCCTAAGGTTTTGACTTTCTAATGTGATCCCTAATACTTGCACATAGCACAAATAACCATGTTAATCATCCAATTATATCTGAAGCAGATTCAATATATATTTTGACAGATTTTAAGTCTCTAAGGCGACTGAGTTATAATACAGGTATGTAGCCGACTGAGTATAACAAAACCACTTAAAAATAATGTATCTTGCAACAGACCTATTATGTTAACCCAAATCTTAAAAGGTAATCAACAAGCTCAACTTAGGAGTTAAAAGATAGATAAAATTTGAGAATTGATTTTAGATCTGGACTGTCAGTTCCTCCTTCACTTCATGTGAAGTTATCCACATCACTCTGCAGCCTGTTACTGTATATTCCTATGAGCTGATTTTTAAAGGTTTATTAAAAATAAGCATGAAAACAAAGAATAGGCAGAGAGCACACGTGCCTGGAACACCTGAAATATTTGCTGGCTGGCCCTTTACAGAAGGCTGCCACCCCACCCTGCAGAACCTGGTTCTGGTGACCATGCCCAGTTCCTGACCGCTCACAGTGGCCATGATAAGAACCTGCTCATGACCAGACACCCTATGATCCTTCTTTGGCTTAAGAATCAAAAATCCTATTTAAATAGGAAACTACAAATTTAATTATTTCTGTTGACCTATTGCATAATTCAATACACTTCATTTGTGGCTGTTCTTGAATACTTTATAAGGTAAAGAATAGGTCAGTGTTTTAGCTCCTGGCTATATATTTCTATGTATAATATAAAAGAATGGTTTTTACATAGACAGTCTTCAGCAGCTTCACTTTTTGCTTCAGCAAGGATGTTGCTTTAGTGTATAAAGTTTACTTATTATAAGACCAATTTTTTCCATCCTGACCTAATTTCCATTCATTCCCCACATATAGCTCATTTCATTTCATACTGATAAAGCACTTGCCAGGTGTCACACACACTGCTGGATTCTGGGATGAACCGCAACAGTGCAGACATGGCCTGGCATCCAGTGGGGCTGACTTTCCTTTCCTCACTTCTCACTTCTATGTGAAAGGACTAATTTCACCAGGAACATCCTGAAGACTTACTGAGGATATTGCTAAGGGAACTACAGTGACAAGGAGAGAGCTTACAGCTCAGGATGGAGGACGTAAGAAAAGGAAGGGTTCTTGTCTGATAAAAATGTTTGGAAAATGGAATGGAAAGACTCAAGGGCATCTAGACATCATACCAATCACACGACAAAATTCCCCATAAAATTTACAAAGTGGTATCAGAAAGTAGTCAACATGGTTAAACCAATGGACTGCACTGTTTATCAAGAAGCCCATGGAAGCCCACACAATAAATAAGAATGTATTATCACAAAAGAATATTTATAACAGGAATATTTAGATTTGAAACTCAATTACAGGCCTTATCAAAGAGAATCCATTTATAAAATGTCATTTACGTGCAAATCTTCATGAATCAACCTGAATATTTGAAAACAAATTGGCAAGTCAGTAAGTATAAAATAACTAAAAAAGATTAGCACTAAACACTCAAAAACAATTTGTAAAGGCAACAGATTTTTTAAAAAAGAAAAGTTTAAACAAAAACATCATACTTTGGGATAGAGAGTATTTAGTTCAGTAAGTCAGCTCTCTGAGTGTGGATGGGAGACAGCCCCTCACAGTCCCACTGGAGTGTCATCTCCACTGCACAGGGGCTTCTTGGCTCTGGTGCCACTGATGGCAGAGTGACCTGGAGAAGCCAACTTTGAAGTCACTGCTCACTGCTCATGCTAAGGAGACCCTGTGTCCATCAGTCCATTAACAAGGTTTTTGCCACTGGACTATGTTAAGAGCAAATAAAATTTTATATGTCCATAATTAATATAAATAATCTACTATGTTTTTGAATGAAAATACCAAAATAATGCATTAAATTACAACTAGCATCACACTCAGCTTTCACAAGGAGTCTTCATGAAAAAGGGCCTCATATGTAATTCAACTCTTTAAATAAACACTTGGAACAGAGATCACAGAGTATGCATTAAAATAGGAAACAATAGTTTCCACTATTGTAAGAGCATAGGAACTACATTCCAAAGAGAGTAAGAGGAAATGTGATAAGTAGCTGAGAGTAGGAAGTGTTATTCCAATTTTATGTGATTTTTAACTTGTAATCATTAGTTTTATTAACTGAGGTTATATTTTGATGATTACATCCCTAACAATACTATAAAAGAAGGCCCCACACATACTGGCCAGTTAGGAAGAGGAACCCATTTAACCAGTGGTGAGACTAAATTTGTGTTAAGACAGATTTACAGCTTCTGGATCTGGTCCCCCCCATACACAACTGTTCATAACAACATAGAGCAGCAGCTCAGAGTAAGGACTGTAGAGACAGAGTCAAGAGGTTGGTAAGAACAAAGCACCTGGAGCTCACAGGCAGCAGAGGGGGAGGAGAAAGGTGAATGGGAGACAACCACTGATCTGCAGCACACCCGTAACTGAGCACTCGGCCAGGTACTTATCAGCGCATGCAAGTAAGGATGCTCCTTGGGACTGGGAAAGGTCCATCTGAAAGTACAAAGGGGAAAGAAACAGTGCTGGCATGCACATGGCATTGACAATAGCATCCATTCTTATCATCCCGGCTGGGAACCTCATAATTCACTGTCACTGGCTAGAGTGCCCAGAAGGGTCTCATTCAGTAATGACCTAATTAGCCCCAGACTAAATACTGCTCTAGTCTGGACTAACAAATTTTAAAAGCAAGATTAAAAAAGACCAGATTCCTTCAGTTCAATGTGTTCTTGAACAAACCTCAAGAATTTAAGATGCAAAAATATCCAGCATCCAACAAGGTAAAAATCAAAATGTCTGGCATCTAACAAAATATTTCCAGACATCCAAGGAAGATGGAAAGTATGACCCACAATGAGAAAAAAAAGCAATAAAAACTTACACAGAACTGACACAGATGTTATCATTAGCAAAGAAAGATATTAAGGTAGTTATTATGACTGTCATCCACATGCTCAAAAAAATCAAGGAGATACACAAAAGATAGTAAAAATAAAAGTGAAACATACAATGTCTGAGAAGAAAAATACACTGAATGGGATTACTGGCAGATTAAGCACTAGAGAAGAA